GATATTAGAAACAACTTTTTGCCAATAAATTTGAATATTCAGATTAAATGAATAAATTCCCAGAAAAAAATCAATTTACCTAAACTACTTCAAGAAGAAAGAGAAAACTGAATAGTTTTAGCTCTGTTACATAAATTGAGTTTGTAATTCCTACAAAGAAATTTAAAGAAGAAATAACACTAGTCTTACACAAATACTTCTAGAGTGTTTGTGTATGGACCACTACATAGAAAATTAAAAGCATTATTAAGGGAAGTTAAAGAGGACCTAAATAAATGGAGGCACATAAATTAATGGAGAGATAGAACATTTCATAAATGGAAAAATTCAATACTATAAAGATGTCAGTTCCTCCCAAACTGATCTACATATTTAATGCAAGCCTGCTTCAGAAGCTTTTTATGGAAATTGACAAGCTGGTTGTAATAGAAATGAAAAGAGCCAAGAATAGACAAGGCAATCCTGAAGGAGAAAAAAGTTGGGGAGACTTACACTTATATAAAGACATCGTAAAGCTATGGTAATTATGGCAGTGTGGTATTAGTGTAAGGCTGGACAAACAGACCAATTGAACAAAACACACTCACCAATACATGGTAACCTGGTTTTATAACAAAGGCAAACTTTCAGTGCAGTGGGAAAAGGATGATTTTTCAATAAATGGTGCTGGGTCAACTGTATATTCATATGGAAAAAATTTTCTTGCCTTTACTTCACACCGTACATGAAAATCATTTCCAGAATAACAGGCAAGGTAAAACAAGAAGGCTTTTAGGTGATAACATAGGAGATACCTTGAGGTAGACAAAGATTTCTTAAATAACACTAATCACAAAGGAAAACATTGATATATTGTACTATACTAAAAGTCAGCACTTCTGTTTATCAAACGACAACAAGAAGAAAAAGATGACTCAATTGAAAAACGGTCAAAGGCTTGAAGAAACATTTCACAAAAAAGATATCCAAATGGCCAATAAACATATTAAAAAGTGTTCAACCTCATTTGTCATGAATGCAGAGAATGCAAACAGAAATCACAATGAGATACCCCTACATACCTATCAGAATAGCTAAGACTGATGACTAACATTACTAAGCACTGGGGACTATATTAAGTAATTAGAAGCCTTACACACTGAGTTGGAGTTTAGGACTGCCAAAGGAGGGGGGAATTGAGGGGCCAAATCCAAAGAGTAAGCAAGCACAGAGAAGTGAGACCGACACTCAGTGACTATTATCCCCCAAGTGGAAATAAATTTCCCTAGGAACTTGGTAGTATCTGCTAAAGCACGCCATCCACATACTCTATGACCCAGGAATTCCACTCCTGTATCTATTCCCTAAAGAAAAGCCCACATGTATCCATCAAAAATGCACAAGAATGTTATAGTAAAACTATTCCCAATAGGCCAAACTGGAAACAATCCAAAATGTCAACAGTAAAATAATAGTTTATTCATACAATGTAATACTATACAACATGAATGAATAAGCAACTGCTACTCTGAACAAAATTGATGAATCTCACAGACAACATTGAGTAAAAGGACTCAGACACAACGGGGGACATAGTGTATGATGCCAATTAAATGCATTTCAAAAGCAAAGAAAACTAGTCTATGGGGTTAGAAGTTAGAATGATGTTTCCTTTTAGGGGAGGATAGTGACTGGTAGAAGGCCTGTGTAGGGCTTCTATGATGTTGATAATGTTCTTCATAACCTGGTAGTGGCTACACAGGTGTGTTCACTTTGTGAAAATTTATTAAACTACACACATAAGTTTTGTACATCTTCAATATGTAGGTCAGACTAAACTAAAAAGTTTACTTTAAAAATAGATGCCTTAGGGATTCTCATGATCCGCCGGTTCTGAGAACTACTTCCACAGAGAAGGCACAGACCTCCATGACCAGCACTGTATACCCTGAGGAGCATCATGCACCTGCTAGTCCTCATCTGCCATTCCCACGAAGTCAGATTGAAATGAGGGTGGATGGTGACAGTCCAATCTAAGAGCAACAGTGGTAGAGAGGTAACCTGCCAATTGTGGATCTAAGGTTATCCTTCCTTACCTTTCTTCTTACTCTTTCCTCATGCCCAGCTGAAACCCTGTACTCCAACATATTCCTGCAGTTTCCTTGGGATCCTCTCCTGCCTGAGCCCTCTGGGCAGCCCTTTGTTAGGTGATTCTCATCATTCTAGCATCTGCTTGTCCTGGCTTACAATTTGATCTAATACAGCCCCAAGACAAACACCATGACCTTGCTCTCAGCATTCATGGTAACCTGTATAAAACTGACTGTGATGTCTAGCCTGTGCCACTCAGGCTATCTTGACCACCAGCCTGGTCCCTCATGGTTTTCCCTGACTTATGGTGACCCACAAACTAGTTATAGCAAAAGACCCTGGGTCTTAGTTAAGCTACAATTGAGCAGAATACCAGTATTAGTGAGTGTTGATTCTGCCGAAATATACATTCATTTTGGAAACAAAATTGGACTAATGGTTTTAGTATAATCTTTGATCCTTCCTTCACAGATATTCCCCTAGGTCACAAGAAATTGATATCAGAACTCTTTCTGAGATTCCTACTTACATGAAGCCATGACATGTTTCTGTGGTAATTTTCCTCCACGCCGGCATTACTCATTCCCTCTGGCTCGATGCTGGGCTCGCTTGCACTCCAAGGACTCCCTTCTTCAAAAGAAAAATACCAAGAAAGTTTTCATTGTTCATTCCCCCTGGAGGGCATGTTGGTATTGATAGTTGTCCATGCTTTTGAATCCTAGGGCAGACTACCGTGGCCCAGTGGGTTATACGGCGTAGCACTGACTTTATTGGAGGATATTAAAAGGAGCTGTTCCCCTCACCACCAGCTGAACTGGCAATTACAAAGACATTTATGATCTCTGCTATGGTGGCTTCCGTTTTGAGACATGGGAGCAGAGAAAAAACAGAGTCAAGTCCTTGAATTGCTGCCATGAGTAGGTTATTGGTTGAGTGTGACCAAGTCCGTTACAGATTGACCAGACCTTGCAGGTGCAGTTAAGTAGGAAGACCAACCAGACTGAGGTGGCCACACAGCTTGCTGCTGCCCTGACTGCTGCTGTGACTACGGCTAGTTCTACCACGCTACTGCTCTGACCACCACCAGGCTTTGCTATCAAGTCTGTTTCAAAGATGGGCAGGTACCTTACAACCGCCAAGGGGATTTGGAAACAATTGTGCCCAATTGTGGCCAGTTGTGGCCGAGCCTTGTGTCCAAACTCCTCTCTGTGGGAAGATATGAGGGAGAATACTACATGACAAAGCTCTGCCCTCAAATCTAAAAGCCTTTATGGGCCTATTTCTAGGACTAGACAATGTTTCTAGCCTGCCTATTTTGACTCAACTGGTCAGTTTAGTTAAATTGATCAATTCAAATAATTAACTGAAATGGTTTTGCCCCAAACTGACTGATGATATTGTTACAGCTTCAAACCTATCACAGAGGAAGTCACAGGGTTTTTTTCTATTATCTCCTTAAACACAAAAGTGAATCTTCAGTAATGCATAAATTAGCTATTTTCAAAGGCGAGGGTGGACAGGTATAGAAACATTTTCTATTTTAAATTGTCTTTAATTAGATAGATTCAATTCTATTTCAGCAGACTCGACTGATAATTTCTCCACGTTTACTGACTGACTTACTGAATGGAGAACTTTCTATTTTGCCTTTCACATAGGAGCTGGAATGGCAAAGAGAAAGTCCTTCAGCTTTTATCTAACACTTAATTCTAGGCAGCTGGTGAGTTCTAGCTACATGCCTACTTAATCTTTTTCTTGTCTGTTAGGATGCTAAACAGGACACATAGGACTGACACATGTTGGAATTCGGAATCTCTGGATCCTACACTTACCATCTACATTGTCTATAAAGATGTACATAGATCTCATTCTGAGGTGTGTATACACACTTTACAGTCATCTCCTAATGGAGCTTTAGAGCATCTCTTCAGTGTAGGTGAGGAGTATTTAGTATTATTCCCATTGAATAGCTGAATAAAACAAATCTCTCGAGAAGTTAAATGACTTGCTGAAGGTCACTAGTTGTCAGTCTAGACAATCTCCCCTCTCTGATATTTTGGTTGTTTTTGTTGTTAAATAGAGACTTTAAGATACAGGGGAATTTAGTTAGCTGTCCCCTAAGGGAGTTTTTTACATCTTACTTTAAAGGTTTTGATCCAGATGCACAAACATCTGGATTTCAAAAAACTATGTCATTAAAATGTTTTCTTTCTCTAATGTATACTCTATACCCTCGCTACTCAAAGTGTGGTGCTCAAACCAGCATAATCAGCCTTACCAGGACGCTTGTTAAAATGCAGACTCTTCAACACCTCAGACTTACTGAACCACAATCTGCATTTTAACAAGACTCCCAGGTCACCTGTGTGCACATGAAGGTTTGAGCAGCCCTGCCCTATAGGGTAGTCTCGCCTTCAGTGAATGAGGTATCTAGCCTAATGCTCTGCCCTTCATCTGTTTATGCATCAGGAGATGGACTTCGGCTGTTTGAGGACTTGGGCCCTGTCTTCCTACCCCCCACGTCCCTGTGCACCCCACTCCTCTATGTTACCTAGGTCAGTGACAGTGTCCCTGCTCTGGGACAGCTGCAGCTCCTCAGCCTCAGACTCTGAGTCCTGCCGTGATAACTTGCTGCTCTTTAAGCTGCCGACTCGGCGAATGCTGGACAAGGAACCCCCCTTCTTCACTTGGAAACTGCGGGTTCCTTTAATCTGGAGCAGGCGGGAACCTCCTATCCTGATCTTCCTGCTGGGAACTGTATTAAAAGAATAAAATAGGGCTTTCCCCCCTTTAATTTTCCCCACCCACTGTTAGAGCCAAGCTCTCGCCGACTTGTCCCTGATAAGCCTCCTCTGTTGGCCTGGATAAGCAGCATTTCTGGACAAGGAGCGTCTCCCAAGCCCCCAGTACTACAGGCTTTGCTAGGCAGGCAGGAGGCTGGGTCCACCAGGAAGGGCTGGTGCAGCTTCTTTCTTGGACACATAGCTCATTGTTGCTGGGAACAACCTGCTCTCTCTCTGGCCCAGGGTTCACAAGCATGAGTGTGCTCTTGCAGCAGCATTATCTAGGACTGTTAGTACATTTACACAACATTATTGCTTTATTCAGTAGAAACATAAACCACCATTTTCTTTTGTTTTTCTTTTCAGATGGGACTTACAGAATTCTGCAGGCTGCCATGTAAACCCCTTCATTTTGGATTACTTCATTAAGAAATAAAAATAAGAGGTGCGTCTCTCTCCAGCAGTGGGTTCCGTTCTGGCTGCTCGGCAAAGGCACTAAAGGATCTGTGTTCATTAGGGTGCTTTGGGTGAGCATGATTGTGAAATGGTTCCATTTTCAATGCACCTAGTGATTTCATAGCCTCTTCCTCTCAGCCAAAAGTCTGGGTGAGATGTGAGTCCAAATGGATTGCAACACCCTGAGCCAAACTCACAGTCTATGTGTACCAAGAAGAACATGCATTACTCATCTTTTAGTGTTTAGGAAGAAACAGTCAGCAGTGAGGAAAATAAAAGGATAAAAAGGAACATGTTTAAACTTGAAACTTACTTTTTTTAAAACAAAAAACCTCCTTATTTCCCATAGTCACATATACATCTTCCTTTTTTTTTTTTTTTTTTTGAAGATTTGGTGTTGTCACACTTTGCTTTTATAAGGGTAGGATAAAGGAGGCTTTCAGAGCTTTAACTTCATTATCAGGAAGGGGTCATTTTTGGAAGGTGTCATTTTCAAAACATGAACAAGATTTCTTACTAATTATTTAAGGCACAGTTATTAGTATTCTTAAAAGTCCCAATCAGGAAGATAGCATTTTGATTCAGGTTTCTCACTCACAGGAGAGTTAATATGTGGCTGTGATAGAACTCGTAAAGCTTTTTAAAATGTTAATTTAATGTATACTTTTAATGCCATAGAAAGGAACTCAGAAGAATTCCTGTTGAATAATGTAAAATGCTTACTCTCTGATTTACTCTTTTGACTGAGAAAGACTAAAATTATCACCACACAGCTGGTAAAGTTTTGATGGAGTTCCCTGAACACATCTGGATAGAATTCCACACAAGTATTTCTTGCAGCACAGTTGGATAAATTCCACAAAGACTATATAAACCAAAATGCTCTCTGTTTATTATAGCACAAAACTCACCCAACTGTTTTTTTTTTTCAGTATTATTTTTAGGCTTAATTGAGACTTTGGTGACCTACCTGAAATATGTTTGATACAGAATATACCATTTTTTTTAATGACTACTGATACAATATCATGTTTGGATTGGGAAATTAAAAAAAAATTAGAGAGATTTTCTAGCATTCTTACAGAGGCACATTGTAGCACTATTTGTGTGATTTCACACCTTCCAGTCTGCAAATGCAGCAAGATAATCCCAAATTAATGTGATCTGAAAGAAATTTAATTCTGAGAACTTTTTCTACCACTAAAGATAATTGAAAACAATGTAATTGGCAGCATCAAACAATTAGAGTTTCAAAATTCTGGCATTAGTTATTAACAAAGGGCCCAGCCATTAGAATTTAGATTTTGTATTGTACATTCAAAAAAAAAAAAAGTGAGACTGTATAGCACTGAATTTTAGCCTCTTATCTCCATGACATGAGAACTAGTATAAAAGTGAAACAAAATTCATCTAAATCTAATAAAACATCTCATTTCCTTTTCTCTACATTGTATTCATTAGCAAGTGCTGCTGGCTCTACACTTCAAAATATAATAAAGGCTTTATTTTAAAAGCCCTGTCACCGCTCCTCTGGACTAATGTGACTACCTAACTGCTTCCTACTCCCTACTTCCACAGCTCAAATCATCTTCAAAGTACATAAATCATAAAGACATACATCACTTTTCTGGTCAAACCTGCCAAAAACTCTCCAACACGCTTAAATTAGAATTAAAGTTCTAACCATGTCTTTTTTTGTTGTTGTTGGTTGCTGTCCAGTCGATTCCAGCTCATGGCGACCCCATGTGTGTCAGAGCAGAACTACGCTCCGCAGAGTTTTCAAGGCTGTGACCTTTCAGAAGCTGATAGCCAGGCCTGTCCTCCGAGGTGCCTCTGGGTGAGTTTCAACCACCAACCTTTCAGCTAGTAGTCGAGTGCTAACCATTTGTGCCACCCAGGGACCTACCATGTCTATTGTTGTTAGGTGTTGTGGAGTCAGTTTCAACTTATAACAACCCCACGTGACAGAGTACAACTGCCCAGTAGGGTTTTCTAGGCTGTAATCTTTACGGGAGAAGATCACCAGGTCTTTCTCCTGTAGAGCCACTGGGTGGGTTTGAACTGCCAACCTTTGGGTTAGCAGCCTAGTGCTTAATTGTTGCGCCACTATTAAATTCTGTTTATTTGCTCTCTGCCTTTCTGAACTCATCTCTGACCACTCTTCCCCAACTGATTCTGTTGCACTCTTGTTGGTCTTCTTGCTGTTCCTCAAATGCACCAAGTTTGTTCCTGCAGCTGAGGCTTGCTCTCACTGCTGCCTCTGTTTGGAAGACTCCTCCCTCAGTGCTTTGCAAGACTGGCTCCTTCACGTCACGCAGGTCTCTGCTCAGTGCCGCCTATGACCACTCTCCCCTCCCACTCTAGGTCACTACTGATTCCCTGATCCTAAGTTGTTTTCCTTCATATATTTTACCTGAAAGTCTAGCATTTTGTTATTTACTATTATGTTATTAACTGTTATAAACGTAGATGTAGGGGATTTTCTCTTTTCATTGCCATGTTCTAGGCACCTATAATAGTGCCTGGCCACAGTAAGTGCTCAGTAGTTTGTTGTTGAATGATCAGACTAGTCTTGGTGTCTGTATTTTGGAATACTTGTCTTAGTTTGTATTTGTAATACGGGTAAAATGATTTGACACCCTCTGCTTGGGAAGTTTTAGGCAGACATTTCTACTTCTAAGGATTATTTTACGTTAATTTTCCTTGGTAGAATCTGAATTGTCTTAAGATTGTTGATTTCAAGAACTGACATTTTTGGCTTTTATAAAAACAGATGGTATGAAAATTTTAATAAAATTTTAATAATCTAAATTAGTAGGGTCCCAATGGTCCCCATTTTCACATTGACTTTAGTAGCTGATATCAGCTTGTCAAATGGATTAAGGAATATTTAGGAATCTTCTGGAAGATTCTTGCCACTTTGGTAAAGGACATTTTATTGAGTACTTTCTCATTTTATTTATATTTTTAGTTCCCTGCTCTTAATTTATTAAACAACTTTCATATATTAACATAACCATTCTGTGAGAAGAAAAAATATTAAGCTTTTGTGTGTTTGAACATTAAAAACAATTTACAGAAGTGTTCTTTAAAAAATATGATATTCAATTTTTTTAAATGGTGTAGAATTTACTCTGTTCAAGGTTAACCATGTCAGTATTAGGAATTTTTCTTTCAGTTACTTTAAACAATAATTACCATAATAAGTTTGAATGAGGTGTGGGGAGGAAGAAAAGACTGCCTTCTAAATTAAAATCCCCTTTGGGATATATTTAAAAGATGGGAGTTTCTCATCATATACAGTTATCCTTAACTGAAGTCATAATAGTTGGAGAAATATTGATTTGATACTTCTTCATACTTAGAAATTACTCAAGACCTAGATTATCCTTCCTAGAACATGGCCTCTGTTCACTATAAATTCAACACAATATTATATGGTGACTATCTGCATGTTTAAAATGCCACAGCAACAATCTGACCTTGAAATGTTCAAAATTTTCCTAGTAGATATCCATTCCTTACAAGACTTTTAAAGATTTTGTGCTTTCTCTATATAGGGTTATTCCTTCTGAGGATCATTCATTAAGTTATCTAATATTTACTGAGTCACTGGGACACTAAAGAATACTTCAGTGCATAAAATAGTCTTTGTTGTTCCAAATGTGCTGATGATCTCTTAATTGAAATTCATTAGTAAGACACTGAAAGGCAATAGAGTTTAAAAAATAACACAAAACCAGACAGTGAAGTTGACAGCTTAAAGGAGCCTCTAGAGAGGAACTTAAAATTGTGCCATCTTTGCTTTAGCTCATATTTAGGATTTTCTATAAGGGGTTCTAACATATATACTCATGATATAAAAAATAACAACAATGACAACAATTATTTGTTGTGCACTTACTATGCACTAGATACCTAGTTTATGCTTTACTTGCATTGTCTCATTTAAAGCTTTCAACATCATCATGCAATAGGTGTTATTAACCCAACTTTACAGAAAACTGCATCTTAGAAGCTACAAAATTTGGATAAGGTCACACAACTAGTTATTGTTTTTCACCCATTTTAAGTTGCACATTTTTTCACATTTTAACATATCTGAAATTGGAATTTGTCTTGTAACTGATGACGTCTTAGAATCACTAGTGCCAGGTATTAGTTGTGACACATTTGTCATTGTCTGTGCCTGTGTGAACATCTAAAGAACCAGTAACAAAACTTGCAGAATGGGTGCCAGTGTCTTTTACCTTTAGGGACCAAATGGTAGTGGTGGGGGCAGTGGGTGAGATGGTCAGATGTGTTCATCAACATTCCTGAAGCAGGGATTGATGGTAGGCTAGCTCCACACAATTACAAATTGCTTAAGTAACTAGCACATATAGCTTTATTTCTTTTATAGATTCATTTAAGAAATAACGTATCACTAGCATTTCGATGGCACAGAGGACAATATTGTATAGAAAAACACAGACATTCGCAACTCTGAGTTTAAAAGTGATTAAGAAAAGTTGAACTTTGAATTGAAGATGTTTTAGAAAAATTTTAACCGATTAATTCTGTTTATACATTCCTCCTTCCCACCTTTTGGCTGCACAAGAATGGTATGTGGCAAAACAAACAAAATACCAATCTCCTCCCCCAAAACAAAACAAAACAAATAACTACTTCCAATCAAGTCTGAAAATCCGTTTTCAACTCTAAGTGAAGGATTGTATCAGAGTTGAACTGGGAGTGTTTTTCCTTTCTTATTGGTACACACAATGATAACTCATTTTATAACTGATGGCATCTTAGCTTTGATGGACTATGGGGAGCTGCTGAGCTGGAATTAGAAGCCAGGCCTTTCTGACTGCAGAGTCTAACTGGCCTGGTTTTCTACCTCATTGAGACTACACAGTTAGCACTGTATGGAGCCAACAATTTTGGACTTCCTTTGGGCACACAGTTTCATAGTTTAGACCCCATACCAAATATCCCATGAGAAACACTGAAACATGACATAATCTTTGCTTTTCCATACCATGACATAATCTTTGCTTTTCCATACCTTTCTTCTCCTCGCCCCCTGCATCTGATTTGAGGGTGTGGCTGCTGCTGTGGAGGGAATCTTTTGAGTCTTCATTTTCATCCAGGACACCGGCAAAGCTGATCTTCCTCTCATATCTGTGCCGGTCCAGCTCGGGATCCAAACGAAGTCTGCAGCTCTCTAGATCCTGAAATGTCAGTGAGGAGCACGTGAATGCTGGCATCTCCCCAACACTGCACTGGTCTTGAGGCAAACCTCCCTCAATTTTGAATTACACCCTACTGTAATTAAACAGCTAAACTCCCCTTTATTTAATACCAATTTTTGGCCATGAAAAGCTATTCTTGAATAATAAAAATATCTGCTCTAGTCATAGTTTTTCCCTTTTCCGCAAATGCTTCACCTTCCAAAAAGCATAGACTTGTAACCAAATGCAGAACTAGCTTCCTCATTTTCTCTTTGTCCACAGTATTGGCTGCATTTTTGGCATTCATCCATTTATTAAACAATCATGCATTGAGTATGAATGTGTTAGGTACTGCGGAAGAAATAAGAGATGGTTCTTGCCCTCAGGGAACTCAGAATCCCAAGACAGAGACTGAGAAGGCAAACAATGATAATATGGTGTAATAAATTCCATTACTAAGGGAAAGAGTAAACCAGTTGCCGTGGAGTTTATTCTGACTCATGGCAACCCCATGGTATCAGAGTAGAGCTGTGCTCCATAAAGTTTTCAATGGCTGATTTTTAAAAAAAATTTTTTAAATTGTACTTTAGATGAAGGTTTACAGAGCAAACTAGTTTCTCATTAAACAATTAATACACATATTGTTTTGTGACATTGGCTGCCAACACCACAACATATCAACACTCTCTATTTCTCGTTGGGTTCCCCATTACCGGCTTTCCTGTCCCCTCCTGCCTTCTCGTCCTGGCCCCTGGGCTGGTGTGCCCATTTAGCCTCATTTTTTTAATGGGCCTGTCTCATCTTTGGCTGAAGGGTGAACCTCAGGAGTGACTTCATTACTGAGCTATAAAGGTGTCTGGGGGCCATATTCTCGGGGTTTCTCCAGTCTCTGCCAGACCAGTAAGTCTAGTCATTTTTTT